AAAAAAAAAAAAAAAAACGTTCTATGATGGTTTTCATTTAATTTTTTGGTCCAACACTTTAACATGATTTATTTATTTACTTATTTCGTTATTTTTTTTTTTTTGGGTACAACTTATATCATCATTTTAAATCTTGAGTTTAATATATATTGTTAATACTTATAAGTTAATATAATAAACTATTTTATTTAGCTTTGCTACGGTTATAATAATAATAATAATAATAATAATAATAATAAACTATTTCTCCGTGTTTTAGCAAATTTATTAATTAATTTCTTATATACAATTAGCATAGTTATCAAAATAAAATTAGCACAATATATATATAATTATGATAAGGAAATTAAACTGCAACTGCATACCTTAATAAGATTTGAAATGCCAGGTGGTGGGCCTCTTCCAGAATAGTGTGCTACAACAGGTGCTGGCTTGATATTCAGGATCATTGCAGTCGGTAAAATTCTCGCCACTACTTCCCTTTGACCATCGAATTCAAATATGACATATAACACGGTTAGTTGTGACTTTTTATAGATATAAACTATTATTTTTTATTATTTACAATTATTTACTTTTAATTTCACATTAGTAAATTCAAATAGTTTCTTAGTTTTTTCATACTTATATTTTTTTTAACCTGTTTGAGTTGATATATTTTCGTATTCGAGCTCCATCTTCTTTGCTGACAGCGGCAATCGGATAGGTTCCATAAGCCGTCGGCAGACGGAAATAAAAGTCATCACTCACTATCATACCAACACCACCTTGTTTCGTTATTGACTCGAACTTTTCTGTCGGTTCGTAGTCGTAATCGTCGTTTTCGCATAAAAGTATTTTCCCATTCACTTTGCGGTAATCTAATGAACCTGGGAAACAATGGCTGGAAAGACGCCAAGCATAATACAAAATTTATATATAAATTTTGTTTTGAATTAATATGATGTTGGTTGTTTTAAAGAGAAGTTGGTTTGTTAAAATTCATGTGTATTTAGTTTGGGAAGTCTCTCTCAAATACGATAATACCTGGCATTGTATTTATCTCGTGGGTTGGAGGCTGCACGTACTGCGTCAATTAAATGATAAGAATTATTGAGACGGGAAAAGTTGATGCCTCCACCCTACAACATGATCAAATGGATCTGTAATGAATAGATCATAATATATATATATAATAATTTTTTTTAAAAAAAAAAATGAGCTAATTATTATTTACCTTAATCACTTTTTTCCCATCCAATACGATATCGACCTTGAAATCACGGTCGATATTGGTTGCACCAACAGTTAGTATCCAAGGAGCATAATTAGTAACGGTCATACGATCAGGGCCGGTGTTCCCTGCGGAGCACACAATGGTGATACCTTTAAGAGCAGCATGGAAGGCTCCAAGAAAGATTGGATTATTAAGAAAACTTTTGTCAGGGCCGCCTAACGAAATGGATAACACATCGACCCTGTCATCAATTGCGTCGTCAATTGCTTTGAGCATTGCTGATTTTGAACAATTCGTAATTCCACAAACACGATACATCGCGATTCTTGAATTTGGGGACCCCCCTCTTGCGGTCCCTTCGGCTAACCCATAGGACGATGCTCCACCGACGGGCATACCAGCCGCAATTGATGAAGTGTGTGTTCCGTGCCCCCACTCGTCCCTACCTGATGTCGTATCGCCTGGAGTATATTGGTTCTCATAGTACCTTACTCCAACCAATTTCCTATTTTTATTACAACAAAAAACTGTACTATAAGTAAACAAATTCTTTTATACCATTACATTATGTTATATATCTGTAGAATCACTATGCCTTACCCGTTGCAAGTCAAATTTGGTCCTCCCAAGCATTTTTTCTTCCAACGATTCGGGATTGTACGCATACTTGGAGTGGCTCTAAAACTAGGAGCTTCCGGCCAAATTCCTGTTTCAACATATTTATACATGAAAATGAAGGCCACCACATCAAAAAATATCACCAATCCTTGTCTGAGAAGAAAGTATTGTAAAACAGTATATATATATATATATATATATATATATATATATATATATCTAACTAGCTAGCTAGCTCACCTGTATCTAGCATGCCAATGACAGTGTCATAATCTCCAGATGAAAAATTTGATGTATAAGATGAATGAGAGATTGTGGTAGCAGTAGTCGTTTTGTTAATAATTCGAAAAGCATCTTGGTTACGCAAGAAATCCCAAGATCGAGTCGTGTGGAGTTGTAAACCCGAGTCGGGAAAAACAGACACCACCCCACGCCTTTCTTCCATTGATTTCGCTTCTTCATTTGACAAAAGTGCTGCGAATCCCAAGAAACTCTTGTGGTAGATATGTATAACGCAACCATTATTCCTGAAAATTTTATACTATTGACATTATTCACCGACTTATGATTTTATCATCTATAATGAGCAAAAAAAA